TTCGAAGAGTAACGATGTAGTAAATTTGGTTTGCGCACAACGCAAAATGCAGGCTTAAGAAAACAGATGTAAATTTCATATCATTATCGAAACAGTAATTTTGTGTGGTCGCCAGAACATTCATCTCGGAGGTCAAAGGGGTGATGGCAATGTTGATACAGTTACTTTTAATGATGGAAATTTTAGAAGTCTTCGCTTCCGAGAGATGAGAGTTGGAGATAAAAAACTACATGAGCATTTACAAAAAACAGCGTCCAACGATACATACACCAGTAAGGCAATACAAAATGAAATTATCAACAATTGCATGAAAGAAATTCAAGAACAAATAGTAGAAAGAGTGGAAGACGTAATATATTTTTTTATAAAACTACTGACTTGCCACGTATTGATCTTATCCGTTCGTTACTTATTACATGGACAAATCAGAGAAGACTTTCTGTGTTTTGTGGATGCCTATTGTGACGTCATGGATACTCACAGCGACCACAGACACAGAGCTTTCATATAACAAATATATTTATTAACATAGAAAACAAAACAAATATATACACTTAATAATCTACTTACACCCTAGCTCTGATAGACCTACTATCCCCTGATCGCGGGAGCGATCCAAACCCGATTGAAGATGGTTTTGATTGTGGCATTCGCCACTCCTACTTTTGAAGCGCGCACAAAGCGTAGCTTCCGTGACCGGATGTCACGCTGGGACACAAAGTCCGTTCTGACGCACCAACGGCTGGTTTGCCTCAATCGCAAGAGCGATCTTATCCGATTGAGAATCGGCGTGAATCGTGGCACTCAACCACTCTTCACCTCGGAGCACGCACACAGCATCGCTCCCCCGTGACCGCAGTCACCCAAGGACCTAAAGTCCGCAGGCTTCGTCAACTAGTGACTCGAGCCTCGCGAGCCTGGCTCGCATATGCACCGTCGTGGCGCCAAGTTCTGTGCACATGCACGAGGTTCTCTCACTGTCTCCAGAACCCACCCACTGGCTCTGTACACTCTGTTATATAGGCGAGGCCCACGTGACCTACTACGTCACGCCACCCCCTCGCTTGTTATAACAGTGAAAAGTTTCTAAAGGCCGGATACCCCAAAGCCTTGTGTCTCCCGTTTCTGCGTTCTTGCCTTTACGGAAAAACCCTTCTCTCCTTCCTGTGGCGAGGCTAATCCTCTACCAAGCGTCCCCAAATAGATGCCATGAGGCACGCTGGCTAATACGTTACACTATGAATCGATTCGCCGTGAAGATATTGTAAAAGAAAACTGAGAAGGACGACTTACTGGTGTAGCTCTTGCTTTTGTGGTTGAGGATATTTTGAATTCTTTCTCTCTCGATATTACAAAATGTGTTGGCATGGGAAAGGAGAATTGTGCTGTGACATCCGTAAATACTAATAATATTGGAGCCGTGGCATCCTTCTTAATTAAAATGAAAAATGCAAGATGTCCTTGTTTCAGCCATTCCTTAACCGACAGTCTTGGCAAAACGTACCGAGTTCTACTTTGCACAAGAGCTGTGGAAACAATGGGGAGAAAAAATCAATTTTGAAAAGTCTGTCAAAAGAACGCGAGTATTTCAAAAAGTTCTTGGAACACCTTTTACTGGTCCCTGTGAATGTCTCTAGATGGTCGGAAAGAAAAAGAAAAGCTGTTTTACAGTTTCGAACCAAATTACCACAAGTGATAAATGCACGAAATGGAATCTTAATGGGTAGTAAGAAAACTTCGTCATATGCATTTTGCCTCAAAGCTGCTCTTGAAAATAGTGAGTTTGTGGTATCAGCTGTTGTATTGTGTGATGTTCTGGGTTCAACACAACTTACACTGCGATTTATGCAACTCTGCTCCTGGCACGCATCAGCTGTCTCATCCAATCGAGAGCTTGAACGTCGCCATAGTGAGCCCAGAGAATGAGTAGCCCTAATAAAAACTTTATTAATATATTAAAGGTAAATACTCGAATTCAGATGTTATACAACAAACTCTAGTATGAACTACCAGAGAACATGAACCCGCTGTTAAATCTAAGCCAATTAACTGTTAAATGTTTTACGGGCAATGTGTTAAGTGTAAACTCGGCAATTAACGTATATAATGTCATTTAATTTCATCATTATTTTTCATAGGTTTTATTTAGCTACTTATATTTACAATAAGTTCGCGTTTGTTACGTTCCTTTATTTGGCAAAAGCATTAAATATTTGTTATAATTATGTAATTACTCAAAAAATATTTTATTTTGTATGTACATTGTTTTTAGTGTATTTTTTAGATTTTAATGTACACTAAAATAATAAACAATATAACATATATGTTTATTACTTAAGAAAAATCTACTCCCCCCCCCCCAAATAAGCGACTGGATTCGCCCCTGCGAAGCTGTTTCCAATAACGTGAGAAAGAATGCTCTGTTGTTGCTCCACTAGTTTTATGTTGTTGTTTTTTTTGCAATTTTTGAAAATTCGGGAATTTTAAAGAAAATAAGACCTGTGCCTTTCTTTTAAACGTCCTCCGCACTATTCAACAAAATTTAATTTAAAAAATTGGAGCCATTTTTTAATACATTTTGAAAATGTCCGAGGCGCTTCATTGTAAAGAATCCCCCAAAATTAAATCAGTTTTAAATTCCAGGGGCCGCGTCATAAGCCAGAACAATTGGGGAATATCAATTTTGGAGAAAATCGACTTACCGGTTTATGTGTTAGCTCTCTACACAGACGGATGGACAGACACGAATTTAATAAAAATTGTTGAAAATTTCCTAAGAAAACCACATCGTCATTAGTTAGCGCACAAATTTGTAAGAATAAAATGTTTTAATGCACGTAAATTTCATAAATACTTTCAAAAATATAAATTTGTTTGATTAAAAGAAAAATAAGTCGCTGATGCGTAGTCAACGCTTCAACAAAACTATTCGGACAGTCGTTGGGGCAACGTGGGGATCTTTTGATCTCAGAGAAGAATGTTGAAACCTTCAACCCTTGCTGCACATTCAACGTCACCTGTCAGTCGTTGGGCCAGATTCGCGGGAACCTTAAAAGTTAAGCAAAATGAGTGGCAGGTGAAAGAACACCGCTTTTGATCAGCGTCAGCTGGTTATTTACCATCACGCAAAGGGAAAATCATGCCGATAAATTGCAAAAATACTATTAATGAAGAAAATCACCGTGAGTAATAAAATCTCACGGTAGCTTATTAACGAAGGCAGAATTGAACTGCAACTCGGACCGTCGAAGACATTTTCACATTGTGAGAAAAGAAGGATCCTTGTATTGGTGCAACAAAAATGTTAAACAGTGCACAGTTGAAAATTGGCATTTGCAAGAAAATAAATCGTGAAACCGTTCGAAAGGTGCCAAGGAGGTCCAATTTCTATAGCCGCATTGTCAAATGAAAGCCATTCATAAAACCAAAGGAATAGGCAGGAGTTTGCTAAAAAAAACTCAGAAAAAGACAAGTGAAATTGAGGACTCTTCGCTGACGGATTGAAATTTAACATCTGTGGTTCCGATAGAAGGTTTCGGTTGTGGAGGAAAAGTAATGGTGTGGGGCTGCATGTCAGCCAATGGTGCCGGTGAACTTCGGTAGGTATTTTTAGAACAAACAATGAATAGGTTCAACCCCGATTTAAGATGTATCATACACCGTGGCTCAACTATGGATGAATATTGTTTATCTATGGTTCAACAATCTTGACATTCTTGAACAAAATTTAAAACAAAGCGCTGAAAATCTCAGTATTCTTAATAATTTTATTTTTAGGAAGAAAATGATCACAGGTTGCTCAAATTAGGCAACTGTACAACTGTGCGTGCAACGCCCCCCCCCCCTCCCCCAAGAATTTTGGTGACGCATTGTCAAAGTTGACGCAACAAATTAAAAAAAAACTGCCGAAGGGTACTTTGTCCACCCCCCAGTCACCAGACCTCAATGTTGCAAAACATTTTTAGGAAAAATTGGAAAAGGAGATAGAAAATACCTGATTCATTAAAAACAAGAATTAAAGCACATAATGCAGCAAAAATGAAGAAATCTCTCCTTCTTGTACACAGTATACCGAATAGACTAAGGGAAATGGGATGCAGTGAAAGGGGATGGCTATTAAAGATATTGAACTCTCTTAGTGTTATTTTTAACAACTTTTTATGTTTAAACATTATTTACTGTGCATGTTTGTTTATATTTCCATTCGAGTGTCCGAATAGTTTTGTGACGTAGATAACTTTTCACCATAAGAAATTCAAATTTAAAAATACTTTTAATATTCCTAATCCACGATTATCCTGCTAAATTTCCAGTGTTTGAATAGTGTTGAGTTACTGTAAGAAAATAAATATAACCAAATATTGAAAGAAATGAAGGTACTGTATATTCTTTACATCCAAGTATTGGACCAAGAATATCATTGGATGATTGATCTTTTCTTTCTTTCCATTTCAAAGACGCAGCATTTTTGACCAATTAAACTTGAGTAATTTGGGATGCCAAGGAAAATAAAATATTTAGTACGCAGTTAATGTCCCGTTTTCATTTCAATCCAATCCAATAAAAGGCTGGATGACAGAAACATTTCACTTTAAATCAACAGCCAACAACCATAACACAGCTCTGCAAAGTTTACTCATAAACTTAAATAAATGAATACATTAGTTAATAAAACATAAGCAAGACAAATGCTCCTTTGTCATGAATCCGCGCATTTAAAATAGTCAAAAAAGTGAAATATTCAATTGTAGCCACCATTGATTACCAGATGGGGTGACAATTTGAACAATTTGATAGTGAAATAGCATTAACAATTATGTGCAAATTATTTCTTACGACTTTCTATTCAAAATACATTTCGTTGTTAAAAAAAGTGAAGAGCAGTGTGTTTTGAAATATTATAAGCAATGGACATCAGAAGATTGGGTCGACTTCCTTTGTTTTCATTAATATACTTCTTTCCATTTTGAAACAATAACACATTCACAGGAAAACAGTACATTAAAATAAAAACACTGTACACTGTCATATTTTTTATACAAAATAACAAATAACAGGAGTTGTTATAAAAGAACATGGTTCATTCTTTACATCATTCTTGAGATAACAAAGAATCATTCTTTAGCAGCCAGGAGCTGGTTGCACCAGGTTATACATATTACAGAAGTGAATGTGGTAAGATCCACACACACTTGAGACTAGATGAATAAAGTGAATTACAAGAACCAGCCTTCTCATTCCACTTATATGAGAATAAAGAATTTGACAAATGTCAATGCGTTTCTTCTTTCAATATCAGTAGTTTACATATTTTGAAAGACATAATATTATACAACTGTCTTTTAGATTTGGTTCTGAATGTTTTTTTGTTTTTTTTTTGAAACACTAATTTTATGCCTACTCTAAACAATTACTGCTACTTGTCCTCACAAACTGTGAATAAATGCATGTTTATTTACGGAGTCAACCAATGGTTCTCAAACATTTTCTCAAAGAGACCTTAAAAATATTGAATTAAACATTAGAGTCCTGGTACCCTAGACATTTAACAATTTAAATACTCACAACTAAAATCTTTTCTCCCAAGATATTGATACTTGTATACCAAGTTGGTATAACATAAAAAATATTCACACAAAAGTACTTATGTTAACTTTCAAATCCCCAGGAAAACTGAACAATAATTGTATTACATTTTTTACTAGTGTAAACAGCACTAAAAATAGAAATAGGAGAATGACCCAATTTATTCTCATTAAGCTTATTAATATACACATCTATACATTTAAATACAATGGTAATTTTGCATTCAATCTGCTTTATTCTTCCCCCAGATTTGCTTTTTTTTCTTAAGTTAATTTGCACATCTCACAGAGTGTACATTCACTTTGAGAACCACTGGCACATACCATTCAGATATTTAATATAATCTCAGTATTTTTTTTTGTTTTTGGTGGCAATTAGAAATTATTAAATTTTGTTTTATATTTCAGAAAACTAACTGGCATGGCGCACACTGCAAAACTCTTCTTACAACCTTAGCCAATGAGCCAGGAGAAAGATTCTACTTCAAATATATGTTTAAATAATACAGCAAGAAAATGGGGAAGGTGATTTTCATTCCATATTCATTTATAATACAATAATGAATAAGTTCACTGAGATATTACGAACAATTCACTTTAAAATAATGACCACATCTTGAATGAATTTTACATTTACATTTTCACAAACACAAATAAAAATTTAGAATCATCCTCCACTTGTATCAATAAAGAAATTATATAGGAGATTATTGAAGAATGAAGAGCTTTCTTTTTCTTCTAGGTGCCTCTTTTTCTTTTCTTTTTTTTTGTTGGCACAAAACATTTTCCACTAATTAAACAAATCACAGCTTCATGTGTACAAATGGTTTTATCCATGTAAATTCAGGGATATAAAGGCTAGAGCAAAATCTCCTCACTTGTCAACATTGTCATTTTATAATGTACAATTCACAGTTTCCATTATGTACAAAAACATATTCAACCGTCACCAGAGTACCAACCTTGCATACCAACACCAAAATAAAACAATATACAAGCAGAAAGGTCACCTTCCCCAAAGTAATGTTTCTTGGGATAAGTAACACTTCAAAGATTTTCATTCAGTATCAAAATAGCAAGCAAGACTAACATTAACTCCACAATGAAGAGTATAAAATTCTGAAACACAGTTATTTATATTCAACAATTGCTTCCATGACACCATCACTACAAAATTTTTTTCATGGTAACTTTCAAAATTTATCAAGGCACTTCTTTTTACATGAACATGCATGTTGCAAATCGTAAGATTCTTTGGCAGGATGTGGTGGTTAGCAATTTATTTTCAGACAAGTTTAATCTAATGTTAGCCTTACTCAATTATTTTTCCTGCACACTCAATAAAAACTTCATTCAATTAGATTAAAAAAATCTTATAACACTAAAATTCATAACAGACCAATTATGGAATTTCATAGGAAGGTGGAAAAATTACATTTTCCAAACACTTATCAACCATTACAAACCACATGATCAGTTACTCCTTTGTGCAAGCATACTTCACATTACACATGTCAAAAATGTATTCTTTTGCTCATGACAATCCCATCTTTTATCTTGTTTGAGCAAGTGTTCACTAATAATCATTTATCGGAAGAGGTTTGCTTTAGTATATTTATTAGGTTTAATTATCTGCAAATCAGTACACCTATCAAACACTTAATTTTTAAAATATTCATAACAAAATTACTAAATAATAAGAAATTCTAAAAATTATCCAAAGAGAAGAATGCAATGTTTCCCTCCTTGCATGGATTTCTTTTTCACCTTGTATAATATGAGTACTGTATTATTAGCTTTTGCAAAGATCTACCTATGTGATGTCTATTTTCTTCAAATTTTCCTACTATTGACAAAGTGGCCAACAAAGACAGGCAAATTTCTTGAGAAGTCCTTGGGATTCCTTGATGAAATTTGAAAATTTCTCATGACCCTTTCCTTCCAATTATGGGTTTTGAGGTACAGATTTTGTAACTAAATGTACCTGTGCATTGAAGGTTTGCAGCAACATTAAGTGTAAATGGTTAATTTACTTTTGGGTTTGGATTTAAAAATTGAAAACATAAAAGGTTTACCAATAAATCTACAGCAACATTTTTTCAATTAATGAAATTCCTAGGCAGCACCAAATTTGTGACTTTCCCCGACTTGGCCACTCTCATTCAGTAAGGATTTTGTGTAATGTATTGAAAACAACATGCAACCTCTTTATTAAAATCTCCATATCACATACATCTTAATAAAAATGTTAAATTTCTCTTTAATATAATCTGACAATTAAAAACCTTACATTCTTAATAATAATAATAACTTACAAAGTAATCAGAGCAAAATCATCACAAATCAACTGAAATGGAATCTTGAACATAAATTGGTGATTTTAACAATCAAAAAAATTAAATATTCAATTTTGTTAAAATAGTAATGAGAATACGACTAAAAGCAAAACTTTTTTCTCGTTGCATTCAAAAGTAGGACTGGAATGTTTACAAATATTACATGTTCTTATAAGAAAATAAAATGTTTCTCAATTACAGTTGCATTCTAGTAAGCTACAAAGGGAAAAGAATAGAAAAAAGTGAAAAATTGTACGAAACAAATTTGTTCAAGCTTCCATTGCATGTACTAGGCAAATTATAAAACATACCAACTATAAACAAAAAAGAGACTTAAAAAGAAATACACATATCTAAACAAACTAAAATTTAACCATAGACGTGATGCAGTGCATTTTCTTTATATTCACACAATTTTGCATTGTTTAATCCAACATATTAAAAAAGATCCTCTTTTTAATAAAATCTTTTACGTGAATTTTCTTGGTGTTTCTGGTAGAGCATGATACCAATGACAACGCAAGCAATAATAGCAATTGAACCTACTAACATTAGGAGAAAAATTTTTATGCCGCTCAGAGAGGAAGGTTTGGGATCTTCAACATGATCTGCAACAAAACAAGAACATGGTGGTCAGAAAGTAACACTACTTCTGGAAGGTATTGTTTTTAAAACAAAATATAGGTGAAAGTTTCTCACAACAAATGCACAAGACATCTGCGAGATCCCTTCAGTGTTGACAGCTAGCAAGCATGTTAGTTTATTGCCAAACACAGAAGCTACCAAAATAACTTTCCTTTTATTTTTTTCACTTAGTTAACTAAATGTGCTCATTAATTCCAGGAAAAATCATTGATTATCTCTAGCATGTGTGCAATTAAAACTCTACACCTACCAATCAGAATTCAGAAAAGACGCCAAATCATTTACTTAAGAAACTATAACACAGACAAGGTATTTCCAGATGGCCAAGAAACATGAACAAAAATGTACATCACAGATTACATACCTGCAACAACTACATACGTTAACAATGGATGAAAAATCTCAACTGGTAAACGTTAAGCTAGCTGACTAATGAAACAACATATAATTTATTCACATTAAATATTTTATGTTTTACATGTAAAACATTTGTTCTTAGGATTACAAATGTAAACTAGTGGTTTACATTTCTACATTAGCAAATACTTTTTTTGTAATATTACAATGTTATTGTTACGTACGATGGGACACTATATATGCTTCATTAATTTCAAACAAAAATTACACAAAAAACTAATAACTTTAAAAAAATTGTACATGACCTTTTTTAATGAGATTATTTTGTACAACAGACTTTATCTCAGGCAAAAATATAAACCTTAAATTTTGTAGTTTTGAATTTCCTTTTGCAATTTTCGAATAAAATAGAGCAACACCTGAAAATAGAACTAGCACCGTATTTTTAGGGTTCCTTATATAAGAAATGTGAAACGTTTTTTAAGAATTTTTTTTTTCTAAATTTCAATCACAAATTATGCAAAAACTACTAGTTTTTGTGAAAACTTGTACACGACCTTTTTAAAGAGCTAATTTTGTACAACAGACTGTCTGAGGAAAAATTCTCTTTACATTAAATGTTTTAGTTTTAAAAAGCTTTCTTTTTAATTTTCAAAAAACCCAACAATACCTAAAAATATTACTAGCACCATATTTTTATCTTATTACAAGTGAAGAAAATTTAAATAAAAAATTTGGAGTGCTTTTTGAGAATTATTGTTTGTGAATTTCAATCACAAAATACGCAAAAACTACTCGTTTTTCAAAAAAATTAACATGACCATTTTTAAAGATCTAATTTTATACAACAGACTTAGAAAATCTATCTCAAATTTTAAAGTTTTTAATTCACCCCCCTATTTGCGAAAAATTGGGGATCAACAAAAATGATACATGTACCAATGTACCTTCTTTTAAATGTCTTTTGCGCTATTCATCAACAAAATTTATTTAACAAATTTGGAGCCTTTTTTTAAATTTTGAAAATGTCTTAAGGGCATCATGTAAAGTACCCCCCCCTCAATTAAAATATCAGTTTCCAGAGTCTGCGACATCAGCTAGAACGATTGGGGAATATCAATTTTGGAGAAAATCAACAGAATTGTTCATGTGCTAGTGTTATGCACAGACAGAGTAGCCATCAGTCGATTTTTTGATAACAAGGGCACACAGAACATGGATTTCTGGCTACACCACTGTTAGAGGAATTTTTTAGTTAGGGGAGTTTTTGTGTCGAAAATTCGCTGTTTTCTGGCGCACAATTACAATACTTTCTCTTCTTACGTCAGTAAGTGGGAGAAAGTAAAAATGTAATTATCAGTTGTGTTTACCTGTTCTAAAAAGTATGCTATATCAAAACTGTCAGAAGTGACTAGTTCTTTTTTTAATTCCCAATATCTATACATGTATTCATATCTGTCATACTTCCATGAAAAGTAATGTTTTCATGACTTTGTCAGCTTCTTCTAATACTTTATTGGCAATATGTTCAGTAACTTCCATATGCAAATATTTCATATAAACAAACAATGCAACGACTACTAAAATAGATCTTTTTTAGAAGCAATACGACGTCATTAACTGTATGCTCCGAATGGTAAAGATGTGCTTGAACTTCTCAAAATGTATAGTTTTTATGATATATGATTTGATATATGATATATAAGAAAACACACTCCTATCTAAGCTCATTTTCCTGAATATACCACTCTTGCAATTTATAGCCCTTTTTGCCCACTCATTTTGTTAATTACTATAATTTTTCCCCCATAAAAACCGTAAGACTTACTATAGGGAGAAGTGTATTTGTGCACATTCTCAAATTTTAGAACCCCAAACCTAACTACCACACATGCATCTGAATGCAGATGGAAATGAGCTTTTTGGAAGATTTGTTAAAAAAATATTCGCACCCATGTAATAAAAACTACTTGCAAAGGCAATTCCACTATAGATTCGGGGTATTATCCCCCATTGTAGCCTTGGAAGGAATCCACTTAATGCCACGAGAACACAGAGAACGATACTTTGAATATTTCTCACTAGACTACAAAACATACACATATCACTAAGTCCAGAAATATAACAAGGGGGGAAAGACTTGGGATGAAAAACCTGAACGAGATGGGGGGGGGGGTCATTAGAATTATACCATCCAAATGGTAACTAATATATTATATCATAGTTACAATTAATATTACTTATCTTTTTGATGCTTGGTATAGTCTCTAAAGCAACAGTTATGCAGCAGAAAAGATTTTACTTGGCACGAACTTTTGTATTGAATGTAATAATTTAATGTCATCTGGCATTGTATTGTTAAATCATGTACAATGTATTTTTTGTGGACCTTGACAAAAAGCACCAATTCGTAAATCATGAGGTAAGGTAATGGTAAAATTTCCAGCTTAGTATAGAGAGGCAAACAATCACACAGATAGGATTTGCTTATTATTTGTACCATTCCTTTTTGTAATCTAAATCCTGGGATCCATAGAACGTGTTTCCCCAGAACATTATACCTCATCTCAGGCAGGAGTGAATATTCATGAAATATAAACAAGAACAGTATATATGGCTGACAGAATTTGAAAGAATCCGGAACACATAGCATACTGAACTTAATTTTATGTCCAATTAGTTAAATGGCCATTCCATTTGAGATTTGACTGAAATAAGAGACCCAAAAATTGTTTACCTTAAAAACAGTCAAATTGCACATTGTCAATTTTCAATGGAGTGTCAAACTCTCCTAATCTTCGTGTTGTTGTAGTACCGCTAGTTTTACTTTCTCGACTAACTACGTAATTGCATAGTATTGCTTTATCAGAAATCAGAAAGTTTTGGCCAAAAAATTGTAACGAGAGTCCCTGGTAACGAAAAAGTGATTAATTTTGTTCCTACATGTAGTAAATTAGTTCCAATAACATGCGTATCCACTTTTTGAGGATTCTTGATTACTGATTCGTGAATGAAATCTGTTTTACACAATAAGCTATTGAAATACGTCATGAACAATTTTTCAAAAATTTGAGTTGTCTTCATTTAATTTTCTGTGAAATGTACACATTTCAAACACTTTTTCTCAAAAAGAGATCCACATTTTTACTTTAAATTCCCCCCCCCCCCTCCCTTGCATGCAGCAAATAAAAAGGTGCTGGTCTCATTTTCTGTAAACTCACTTAGTGTTAGATTAGTTAGGAAAATTGCAAGAAAATTAGATTGCAAAACTGCATTATAGTACACGATTGTGATTATTTAAAAAAAAATCTGTTGTAAAAAATCTTTATACAAGGTCATGTACAATTTTTTGAAAAGAACGAGTGGTTTTCATGAATTTCCTTTTTGAAGATAATGCAAATTATAAGAAAAACTTATAAACTGTTCCAAATTTTTTCCTTGACTGAAGAAAACCTTGCTTAAAAACAAAATGATGTAGATCTCATTTTTGTCTTTCATGCTTAACTTTCTGATTTTTCAAAATTTGCAAAAAATAGAAATAATGTGATCACGCTGAAATAACTCACGTTGCTGTAGCAGTATGGTGTGAGTTTGTTTCATCATAAAAAATAAAATTATACATATTACTTTGAAATATTTATTATCATGTTTGTACATGTAATACTGCATAAAGATGAATTGTTTGTTCAAATATTTTCGTTAAAACAGAAAAAAGGAGGGAATATCTATCAAGTATTGAGAAATAAATCAAATGAAATAGGTTAAAAAAGCAAAATTTGGCAAATATATTTTTTGCAAGATTCCTGTAATTTGTTACACAAGACACTTATTAAAATGAAAAGATTTACAATTGCATTACCTCTAGGTGGTTCAAAGAACGCAGCAGAAGGAGATATTTGTGAACGATCCTCTTCTACATCTTTTGGCTGTTGAAGACAAAATAAAACATATTATTGTCAGCTTTTGTTCTTAAATTATCACAACACTTAGAAATAAAAGCTTAGTTGTTACTTTTTCAATGATATTTTTCCTTTTTTTTTCTCTCTCTCTCTTTCCCCTCCAACAAATATAATAGCAAAATTTGTCATTTTCAAACAGCTTTGGTCAAAGTCCAATTCACAATTTTTGTCTTAAATGAAATAGTTATCTCAAATAATTAAACAACTATTCTATCTCAACTATTCTGTCAACATTGTCCGATTGGCGTGAATAAGTAAATAAAATAAATAAATAAAAATAAATAAACATGCATGATATCATAGCTTTCTCCTTGAAGAATCTATATAATGAATATCCAATGTGTGCAGAGATTGAAAGAAAATGATTCACCATCCAGCAATGTTATAGGCGTATTGCTTCATTAGATACTCAGGAACTTGGCAAAATCTTAACATAATACAATAGTTTCAATTTTGACTGAAATTTGCAAACAGTTATTCTGTCTATTCGCATTCTGTAAATACCAATCAAATGTTCATACTTAGGGAGTCACTGCTGACATCAACACAAGCGACAGCAATACTCCAAGAAAGAGACTGCTAGCCAATTATTATTGGTTGTTTATGTGTTGTTATGGAACAGCAACTTTTTTATAGCTTTGGTATTAAAGAACTGATTTAGTGGGTATTCATATACACTAAATTATGTTACTGCAGTATTAAAAAATAGCTGGCTTCAGTAGCTGAATTGCTAACTCTCGCTCTGAGAAGTCACGGAGAATAAGCAACTCTACACAGCACTGTGGGTTCTGTTAGGGACGGTCTGGGAACTGCAGGAATCTAATGTCACAGTGTGATCTTCAATGAGAATTGTCTCCAGGGAAGCAGTAGTTATCGTGGGAGGTCCTGGTCAGCAAAAAGTTTAGAAAATAATAGTGGAAACTTGTCTCATATTTTGGTGTCAAAAACATCGCTCTCCAGCTGTTCCAGAGAAAAAGAAAAAAGAGAGAGAGTCCCAAAAAGGTCCACAAGATATTGATTCAGAATCTTCTAGAAATATTTAAAGTGATGCATTTTTTTAAAAAAATAATGTTAATAAAATACAGAGCAAAGAATAAAAAATTTCCATTCTATGCCATAAACAGTAATGTCAAAATAAATCGTACAAACAGACATGTACTATTGGTGTCATATGCACCAGTCTTGGGTACACCTCAGGCCACTAGGTGGTAGCAGGATCACTTGTCACTCATGCCGCCCATGCCGATTTGCCCAAGTTTCTGCTATTATCTTTCATACTGTTTGCTGTTATGTCGCTTAGTCATTGATGGAGGCTGGAAAGTGAGTGGGGCAAAATCATTACAATAGACCTGTTTCGATAAGAAACGAAACTAATTTGTAAGGAAAGTACGTGACAATTTGTAGCACTAGTTGAATTTGTTGTCAGTCTTGGCACATTACTGCAGAAATGAAATTGCAGGGATTCTTCCTTGTGATGACTGTTGGATTCACAGTTTAGTATTCAATTAATATTGGGCCTCCTATGATTGTCATCAATAATGCTCTCAGTGTTAGTTCAACGTTTAACTCAGTTTATGTTGTTGGAAGTCAAAACTGTTGCAAACACGAACCTGGTGCCTTCATTTTCATCCATTACGAATCAACATCTTGTTTGTATTCAGGATGGAACAAAGTGATGTTGCCGTTAATAGTGCGGGTGAAAATTATTCTTTTATTTTACACCTTTCTGCTGTACCACCTTTATTCTATTTTGTAAGTATTTTCTTAAATGATTAAAAGTATAGGAAGTCAATGAGTGAGTTAGGAATGCTAGAAATGTTTGTGGTTTAATTGATAGGCAACATCTATATATCTATCTATATCTATATATAGCTGTGTGTGTGTGTGCGTGCGCGTGCGCGTGTGTGTGTGTGTGTGTGTGTGTAGGACTTCCAGGTAATTGATCACTTGTATCTTTGATACCAGCTGATGGTTTGTTTGGTAATTTGAACATTTTTATTACTTCATTGTATACATTTAAGACATTATCAACGGACAATGGTTTATCTGCTGCTTTTCCCAGCCTACAGACTTGCTTAAACTTCGTTTGGATAAATGGGGTCTAATCAGTAATCACGATGTTTTTAGGTTATCATTGCTTGATCTTCCTTCCTGAATTATTGATACCTTTACATTGTGAAAACTACATTTCTTCATGTTTATTTCTCTCTTCTAGTTCTGAAATGATTTTTTCAACCTTTGGTCCCATACTGTTAGTTGCTATTTTTATCTTTTAGTCAAACTACATTCTCAAGTTATCTGTCATCAATTTCATGTCTTCTGATATTTTTAGGTTGCCTTCGTACAACTGTTTTTTCAAGTCCACATATTGAATTACATTGTAGCTTCAGTGTTTTATATTTTAGAGCTTTTTTTATTTCAAGTTAAATGCAGTAAAAACTGCTTGTAGCATTTTTTGGGGAGGGAGAGAGAGAGAAAAGCTACACAAAAGATAACTCATCAGGTCGAAGCATACATGAAGCCAAAATACTTAAAACGAATATGATAAGAATTAAAAATTCTTACATCATCTGGTATATCCAATTCGTACAATCTAACTGATAATATATCATGAGTGTCAGATAGGTCTCCAGTTGCTGCTGACATGCCGAAATAATAATTTGTGGGCAAACGCACACCTTTCACTGACAAGCACTCCTTCCAAGCAGCTTTGTTTTCTATCTCTGTGGACACTGTAACAGAAAGAAGATTTATAAAGAATCTACTGCAAATGATATATGCATTACCATGATTTATTCATGCACTCATATGTCAAATCTAGTTCACTCAATTTCACAGCCAACAGCCAATGATGCAAGTGCTTTGCTAAAGCAAGTGTGCACTAAATCCACATTATACAGACCACTTACCATTAAGAAAATTATTTTAATCACCTATGTTCATAAACCTGATGCAGTTACCCATACACCAATTGATGGCAATTCATAAAGCCAAGTCATCCAATGCATATATGCTAATTGCATAACCATTATTCTTCCACAAATTTCATTATTTCTTGAAGTACAGAAGATAGAATGTTCTACAATGTAACTATAAAAGAGTACTGAAAATGCACTTCTTAATCAACATGCTCTACACGAGTCCCAAAACTTACTTCATCACAAAGTAAATATAACTCGAACCGCTGTTATTTCTACAATACTAACTGTACAGCACAAAAACTTAGCTTTTTATCTGAACACAAGATGCAAGTGTCTTCGAATTCTTATAGTTTTATCAGAATTCAATATTACCTCACTCATTGAGTGGTAAATAATTGTATCGGCTACAAGCAAACGATGTGGCATGCAGACTGCCTGAGCTCAATCCATAAATGTCTACTAAGTGCAAAAATTAAAATAAAACTGTGAATCAAGGAGGGGTAACAATCTTGTGACCAGATAACTACCAAACGTATCCTTTTTCCGAGCTGTGTTGGTCTTGGCGTCCGCAGGGTAAAAACGCACTGGCCGAGAGCACATAGAACAAATAAGGGGAAGAAAGACAGATGTAAACATGAAAGTGAGAAAGGTTTCATAAAGGACTAAAAAATAATCTTCAAATAATTTATGTTAATAAAGCATGCAGTGTATCAAACCACACAGAGGTAATTTTCAATAGAAAATTTCACAATAAATTCAATCAATCCACGCACTTATTAACTCTGATAAAACTCCACAATTACTAGGTGAGGGATAACAGTTAACTAGCAAGTGCATTGCATTGTTTTCTAACATAGAAGAGGAAAGGCACTCTCCTTCACATCATTTTCCATTTCACTATAATCTTGTATCAACAGAGTAATTAATAACAAACAAATACAAAGAATGATATAAAAGAAATTAAGAGTTGCCTGTTTCTACTATGCTAAAAACAACACTTTCAACAGAATTTAATGAGACAAATCTAAGCATAAGGACTTTCAATAATTTCTCAATCAATTATTAGTTTCTCATTAATTGTTGTAGTTTGCTCCATTTTTCCCCTTGTGACAGTATATTCAATTTCAACAAACCATATTTAAATGTAGTATACACATTATTTTGTACATGAATTCTGAGAAACAAACATGGGAGTTTCTGTCATGTAAAATTTGAGGGGAATCAAAGGAAGCAATTTAAATGCTAGTACCTCTGAAGACATTTTGGTTTCAGCCACCCTTTGGTTTATTTAAATTAACAGAAATGTAACACATGAATCAGAAAGTGTCTTCACAGTGTTAACAAAGGTCAACTTATGTTGCAGCTTTTCATGAGTTCAAGAATATATTCAGACAAAAATCTTGGGAGATTATTCAATAAAAATCTCATATTTTGTCATGCACAGTACTGAATTATCTTCATCTATATCACATACTATCCAGTTCCTAATGCCCTAACATTGCTCTTCAGCACACACTGGGTGCAATAAATCTGGCTGCTAATTCGTCTAGGTTGAGAAGGCCCAACAAATCTTGATGTGACAAATGACACCATTTTTGAATCATTTGCGTCTCATGCTACTTCTTAAGTATGTGTTCAGACTTTGATGAGAGCCAAAGCTGTGCTCGAATTGACAACCCTTTGTTTCACCTACTCCAAAGAACACCAATTAGATTAATTAATTGTTTATGTTAATAGTACAAAATGAAACTAGAATAAAAACTACTGAAAATACTTTGGGAGCAACATGTCCCCATCATTTCTGCCAGAGACTCCCATGGAAACAAATATGAATTAGTCAGAATGGATAAATTTAAATATGGTGCTCTTGGACAAAAGGTAATTATTGAATGCTCATGACCTTAAATTTTCACTGAAAGAACTTGAAAACAAAACCTGTCATTTGTGAAATTGAGCATATAATCACAAAAGATACAAATTAATTTCTAATATTATTTATGACCCAGGATTTATGAGCTAGCTATGACTTAATGAATAAGAAAATAATCTATGAAACATTTTCTACATTAAAATATCAAAGATACTGATTCTGCAAGTTTGAAATTTTGATGATGAAAATGATTTTGAAATAATATTTTGTTATTCCAATATCACGTATTTTTTTATACATTGTATAATACTGTAAAACATATTTACTCTTATCCTTGAATTCTAGGGAGCAAAAAACATTTAATCCCTGTATGTCATTTATGTATAAGTGCACATACAGATGATACCCCAACAGAATAATTTAGGACTTAATTTATTTAGTCATTTATTTATATCACAATAAATATTAATTATAAAAAAGAACTTAACATTCCCTCTCTGAGATTAGAATTTATATTGAAGACTAATAACCACTCAACATAAAGAAAGATGTAAGATAATCTGTACTACTCAACAAATCTTAAATCTGCTTAAATTATTTATCTATTTAAAAAACAAAGAGGCACAACAAAACCTGAGAAAATCCCCAAAACAGGATTAATTACATATTTCTCAATGAATGACTAGCTGCACCAATATAACTGTTCCGTCCTGATGGGCACCTCAATGATGAATAAATAAACATTAATATTTCAGTTTCAAGGCAAGATCCGAATATTAAATTACTAAATTTTATGTGAGATAATTACATGTGATTTATAAATATGAAATTAAAGTGAATTTAAAAATTATATAAGAAAGGTGAGACCAATAACATCTATTCATAAATTTACTACACACCAAAAATGTCAATACACTGCACTACAACATATCACTGATCATAGAGCCAATACTTCATCACATCAGGAAACGTATATGAAATAGAACACACAACATACCAGTCTAGCAACATATTCCAAACAGTGATAAGATTGAATATCCTAATTAGTAACATTCACATGTATCATTCACATGGTGAATACAAAGCAACATTCAGACTACAAATATTTCAACACCAAGAAGGAAGAGTTACCAGTGGTACCATTGCTCAGGTAAAATAAAGTCCATTTACTAGGTAAGCAAAACATTGAAGAAATTCAGAATAAAAATGGGCAAGATAATTGTTCAAAGTAATTCTGAACAATTTGAAGGTATAACCCCACTGAGAAAACAAAACATGGCTGAACTATTTTATTTTAAAATTTTCTTTTCCAAACTTTATACATTTAAGATCTTGCTCCAGTTTTCTTCTGAATTCTCATTTATTCCAATTTATCACATGGGTGAATGTTTCCAACATCCTAATACAGTATATATCAGACGAGAGTTTCACGTTCATATTCACGTTCATTCAATCATTTAATAATTCACAATTTAGCGATGTTCCTCCCTCATTGATGAAACCTTAATTTATAATTACATATACTTTGAAAATGATGAACAAAAGACACACTTTCTTTTATTTCTCTTTCTTTCATGAAAGAGAAACTCTTCTCTTTCATGATTTCTCAAACTTTCATGAAAATTAAAAACCAATTGTGTGAAACTGTGTGTTGCCCACATTATAAAAGAGGTGATTAACTAAATACAAATGTACTTGGCAGATTTCTTACGTTAATCATTCAAAATTCAAAGAGTTAAAGGAGAGTTGAAAAGAAACAATTGAAATTATTTCGAGGCAGTGATTAAGATATAAATATGCAAAATTCCAAAATGCACTCACAAATGTAAATACACAAGACTTAAATAAAATTTGCTGTTTCTATATTAAACATAAAAATGAAGTAAATTTATCACAGTGGAAATCTTTCATTATGAAATCAATGATGGTCCCACACAAAGAAAATAGAATGATTGCTCTAGAGAGATTTCCCAGTCAGTGGCGTAGTTGGATAGGTCCGCCCCAGGTGACACCAATTTAAAAAATTTATAGTTGGAATAACATAATTATTTATTTAAAAATTATATTTCAATTATTCTGAATTACACAGTCTTATAAATGTCATGAACAAATATACTTGTATTTTTTTTTCCATAATGTGTTAACTATTCCGATTTTTTTATATTATAAGTAATGTGATTTGTAACCTAGCAAAATAGCAATTTCTGCTAAAACTTTAAATGAACTCAAATTTTAAGAACTGAATAACTGACAAGTTTATATATTGTTTAACCTGTCCCTGATAATTCAAGAGGGACTACTTACTAAGAATTATTATATTATCCCTTTTTTCTTGGTCAAAGACCAATCATTTTGTATCACCAGGAGACTAATTAAATGGCATTAGAAGAGCTGCATAACTAATAGCCACTAATGTTAAAAATATGAATCTACTGATTCTCCAATATGCTGCACATCATGCAACAATGTTAATGACCCGGGAATGAAAGATCGTTACTAACAGTGGACATCAAAACAAGTTTGTCTTAGGCCAATAGAATTTTTGTCAAAATATCAACCTTTGTAGTACTCTTGTTACTACATACACGAGAAAGTAAAAATTTGATAGTGTCAAACTAAAACTTACAAAAAATATTAGAACTATAGAATCACAAGAAAACGGTATTCTTTGTACCAACCTAAATAAGGCTGAAACATCCCCTGTGTCTGCCTCACCCTGTTATTTTTCTTATTTTCCTTTTTTTATTTAAAATTTCATTCTTAAATATGTAATTTGTTTCTATAAAATTGACGAGGATTGTTTTCTTCATGCCTGTTCATTGCAGATTCGTAAACAGGCTATGCCCCTAAATTTTTGTTAACCTTGCCTCTTAACGCTTCATTATTTGTACATTTGCAATTCCTTGATAAAGACAAATTAACTTTCCCCAGTGTGTGTGTGTGTTTCTTTTTGTGAGTGTTGACAGAAAATAAATATTTAGTTAGCATGTTTAGGCACAGCTCAGGCGCTTTGAAGTAATGTAATATATTAGAAGAATGTATTTGTATTATTATATTCTTATGCATTTGTATTATTATATTCTCATGAATTGATACAAAACTAGAAATGCTACAACAGCACATACTTTCTAGTATTATTGAATATGGTTCCTAAAGATTGCAGTTTCTGTCCCACTAACACCTCAGCTGTAACTTCAAAGTGCAAATCAATTATTTCAAACAAAGCACCTGTGGTGCCTATCTGCATTCATTTCTATAATCAGGAACAGTAGTAATTTCCTTCTTTTACAAATGAAATGGATAAATTTAACTGTTACAATATTTGTAGCAAATTACCCAGAACAGCAAGACTTTGGCAATCAATAAATAAACAATTTTTCAAAAATGTTTCTATTATCCATTTAATGCTGGAATACTTTGAGTGATGTTTACATGCATCATCAGGTATGAACAAATAATAACTAAAATATTTGTCGTAAAATAAAAAAATAAAAAAAATAAATAAAAAAAGACATTGTTTAAATTAACAGAATTAAAAATAAATATTATGCTGCAATTAGAGATGAAATTATGGGAAAAACAATAAAAATTTTAAAAAAATACATAGTAAATACAAAATATATAAAGATGGGTGAGAACATACCTAAAACATTTTCATTTGAGCAAATTTTTGAAAATAATAAATATGAACAGAGTCAGATCTGATTAATGTAAACAATAGTCATTATAATTTGAAAAAAGACAATATGAAAACAAGTGGAAAAAAGAATAATCAGGTGGAAGGAAGAAGGAACAGATCAAAACATAAGTACACCTATAAAAATAAAGGCAAACAGAACATATCAAAAGTATGAAAATATTTTAGGGTATTCTTATTTTTGATAGAATAGTCATGTATGTTTGTGAATAGATTTGATTACAACATAAACGATATGCGTGTTCTTTACATGTAATGTATCGTATTAATAGTATTGTGCATTGTATATAATATATGTGCAATTAATCTTGAATATATTCTGGATTCATTATCCAAAATGATAGCCCATTCAAAATTAAAAGAATGAGCAAAATCAAGGCTATGATGAGAAGTTGAGTTTAATTTTTGTGCCAGTCTCCTTAAGTCAACATGTTCTTTTATTCTGTCTGAGAGAATCGTTTTGTCTGGCCCACATAGGAGACAGAGCAATCATGACAATTAAAGCAATAAACTACATTTTCTTTATCAATTAAAGCGATTCTATCCTACTTCTAAGCAGAGAGTGTTTAAGGGGCAATTTGTTCCTAATTTTTATGTCAAATTTTAAAGTAGAAAACTTTTTCTGATGGAAATTATTTATTCTAGGAACATATGGTATGCGACATAGTTTTGCTTGACAATTTCAAGGCCGGACTAACAGCTGTTAGTTCATTATTGATTTTTATAATGGCTAAACTTTTAGCTTCAATTCTTGTGAATAAAATGAAGTTTTTAGTGAGGATAAGACATACAATGTTCAAATTAATGGCGTGATATTTAGAAGGAGAAAGATTAATTGCTCTATGAACTAAATTATAGACCATCCTAATTTTTTGATGAAGGGGCAAGTTGAAAATGTTAAGTGGGTGATCAGAGGCACACTGCTTTTTAAACCGATTTGTTTCTACACAAGCATTATTAAGCATGACAATGTTCATATAATTTAGCAGACCAATGGTTGATCTCTCTAATAAAAAGTAAATAAATTTGTTAAAGGAGATAGAAGTATCTAGAAAATTTGGAATTACATTGACATGTAGAGTGACCAAAAGGTCATCAACATATCTTTTGTAAAAGAATTGTTTAGGGATTTGTACGAGTGATTCTTCTAATATTCACATGACAATTTTCAGGAAAAAGGAAACTGAGAAAATCATTGACAAGAATATCTGATATCTGATGATATATAACACTAAACAAAATTCTGCAAGAGAAAATATGAACTTAAACATTAATCATTTGGCAGAATGTTCAAATTACCACCTTTAAGGAGTTAAAAGCAGAATAATGAGAGAATAGGAATTACTGGGGTACATAAAAACAACATCCAGGCTATATGAGTTCATGATTAGGAGGAACAGATCAATTTAAGTGTTCTTGAGATAGTTAAAAACTGTTGAAAAAAAGATACAACAGGTCTCACAGGAAAATCTATTTCATAAGCCTTAAGTAAACCGTAGGCCTTTGGAGTACAACCAGATGTAATTTAACCAACAAATGTGGTGTAAATCTTATTAACGACTTTGAAATCTATGTATTACAGGATTTTCCGCCTCTTAATAAAGTTCTGTAATTTTTTTTTTTTTTTTAACTTGGTAGCACACAGCAATTTAACGGAGTACATTGTCAGTATCCATGAACAGGTCCTTTGAGTTTGGTATCAAAAAGTTTCATGGCAGCAATATTGCCTCCCTTATCACAACATATGAATAAAATATCAGAATGTTTATTCTAAAACTTTCTGGTTTCATCATGGTAGGAAAGTATATATGTAAGCTGTAGGCAAGAGAGTATAACAATGAACGCAACTCGTACGAATGTTCGGCTCCTATTGTCACCTCATCTAACCACATTTTATTTGTAGGCCGAAGACTCACTTTCTGTACTACTATCGTAAGTAATTTTTTCTGGGGTATGATTAAGCTTTGGCCCAAACGTTCTGTAGATTCTTGTTTGTCATCAAATAGTGCGTACGGTGGTGCTGTTTTCGGTGCAGGCAAGACTGGACACCTGTATATAACTCAACCTATTATTACTAACTTCAAATTATTTAAACTCCAACTCTAAAAATTATCACGAGTAGAAAGACAAATGAACTCCCTTTATAACCATTTTTAGAAAGTCCTATGAAGGGTACCAGTAAATTTAGGTGTATAATTGTGTATGTTCTGAAACTATATTTTTTATAACAAACAATATTCTGCAACATATAAACAGATTATTTTAACTCTACATACAAAACAAAAAATCACAATTAGCAATGCTATGAAATGGCACACTTTACTGCAGTAGTTCTTTCAAGTCAGGACTACAATTTCAGTTTTACAGAACAAGACATCTAAATGCTGACTTTTTAGCCTGAATAGATTTGAAATAAAGCTGATGTACCTGAAGAAGCAGACACATCAGTCTGTAAAATATTGTACTTTATAATATTTATTGTAAATACAAGCACGTTATGTATTAAACATGTTATCGCCAACCTTTGTCTGTAATAATTAAAAGATATAATAACTGGTTAAATTGTTCTATTTTAGTTAAAAAGGAAGAAAACAGTTTACAAGAAAATTTAGAAAATATTACGTAAACTTCTTCTGAGGTACTTTTTAAAATTAAAATAATCATTTCAAATTCATAGAGCTTTGAGTGTGGCCAGATCAATCTAAGAATACGATAATTTGGCGAAAATCTTACGGTTAAGGAGATCGTGTTGTACACAAATAGACATTTTGACGAAAGTTACATTCCTTGAAATGAAATACTCAAAAAGGAGTATTTGACTCTACATAATTGGGAAAGTAATTTTCTAAATTTAAGATCTATATATCTAGATAAAAAGCATCTGTTAATTCAGTATCGAGAGTCCAACAAAGTAATTTTTGCTGTTGTAAAATAAGCTTTTTTCCCTGCATCATTATACTTCTTTCTGTACATGAGAACCTAAATAATAAATAAATTATATTATATGTGTAATTACAAAATCCATATATAATCACAGATGAATAAAAATAAATACTACTAAATACTGGTCAAATTCAAATATTTTTGTTCAAGATACCTAGAACAATATAGCAGCAAACATTCTCTTCAATTCATACTCAAATTGCATTATTTTACAATTAAAATGTCTTATTTGATATTAATACTGATGGAATATTGATTTTATGCATGTTTTCTGTTGTCATAAAGCTTTATTTTCCAAATTATTATTTAATGCAAAAATGGATAAGTATCACATTTGAAACAAGTACTTATAACTTTACTTTTACATTACAGGCTGAAAAAATTAAGGTTGCAAAAGTAGTAAAATATAAGTCAAAACCATTAAGACCAACTTACCTGTCAACACATCATGTTCATATCGAATAGCTATGTGAGTATCATGGTCCAAATTACGAAATTTAGCTTCACAACCTGCTAATTGAGTATGGGTTCCATCACGGTCATGATCATAATGTAGTGTGCCATTGTTAATCATAGCTGATATGTAAGGATGTTGGTGCTGGAATATATTAAACATTTCCACTACAGAAACATTTAAAAATCATAATATTTGTACTAAATATAATCTTTTTATGTTTCTTTAAGCTAAGTAACAATACAACTTACATTATGTGGACCATTATGATTGCTGTACGTATCAAGAATTATTGCCAAACCATGATGATAATCCATGTTTCCAAAAACAGGCCCAGGAGACATCCGATCTTTTGCATACCAAATGGCAAAACCATCTCCATATAGGTCTTTACCTTTACCATGAACTTTGAAGTGGACTTGTAATTCCCAATTTCTTACTCCACAAGGCTGAAGAAAATACATTTCATTAACACAATGCAACAATAATTTTATCTGAACATAAACTTGTTTGTGAATTTGAATATAAATTTGAACTCTGTTCAAGTGTGGTCAAAGACAACTAAATTATATTTAAAATTACTTTTTACTCTGTACTTGCATATGACAAATTAAATTTTTAGCACGAAAATTCCTGCCACAGATGCCCCTCAAAACTAATTCAATTTTATTCTCATGATAGAGTTCGGATATATCATAAGAAACAATCAGGTGGAACAACCAAATGCAAATTAATCATCCAGCGGTGAAAGAACGCCGCCGCCTACAGCGATAAAATATGCACGAGACTTACGGGAATAATGGCCGTAGTTGACGCGACAGAAACAGCATCAATCAAAGAACAGTTTTCGTATATTTCTGCGTGAAAAATAGGCAATTTTAAACTTATTTTCAAAAAAAGTCTCCAAATGCTTACTTTAATTATTACCTCGTATGAAGCATAGAACGGTAAAGAAAGCGGTGATGGTCCCATTTTCTGCAAACACAATGTTTTTTTCGAAAACTGAAAAAGTACAAGCTAGAGTTTTTTCTTATACGAAATCTATTCTAAACCAGAGGAGATAATAAGCACATACTTTCTCGCATTACTGGAAATAGTTACGAAATCAAAATAAATAAAACAAAGTCGGGTTTGTTACACCATTTATAACTCAAGAACGGTTGGACCAATTCTAATTATCTCATATTTGTTGGATTCATCTCCGCACTGAATACAAGACTAACCATTAAAATATCGAGAAAATTCACGAAACAAAAAGAGAACAAATGCTGCTAATCAGACCATTCGTGGAGAGAAAATTTGTTAAAGAAATTTTTGTTGCCAAAGAGATGTGTTCAGAGAAGGCCGAAGCATCAGCACTTGCAAAACTCAACAAAAAAAGCTTTCATATTTTTTCCTTGGTACTCGACGAATGATTATTTCGAAGCCAAAGAAGAGCTTGCTGCAACTGCAAAGCATCTAAGGAACAACTACAGGAGAGGATATTTATGAAAACGTTTGCCAAACAGTGAATGATTTGGAGCTGGACTGGGCTAAACTAGCCAGCGTGACAACTGATAAGAGATGGACAAATATAACCATTCTCATCCAATAGCCATACACTGCCTCATCTACCAACAAGCGCTGTGTAGTAAATCACTGATGTGGGACTCTGTTAGAAAATTGTGATATCTTGTGTTAACGTCATTTGAGCCCATGCATTAAACCACAGACAATTTCAGCAATTTGTCTGAGCTCAATGTTGACTATGAAGATATTCTGTATCGCGCAGAAGTTAAGGGAGAGTTTTGAAACGTTTCTATGACCTACTTCCACAGAGGACAACTTTTCTGCTTTCAAAAAACAAAGTAACAAAGCTCAGTGATGCAGAATGGAAACGACCTTGTCTTTCTGATAGATGTATCAGAGCTACTCAACAATTTCAATGTGCAACTTTACGGAAAGGTGAAGCTTATCTGAGATATGCAATCACACGTCAAAGCATTTGTAGTAAAATTAGGCCTCATCAAACAAGTGAAGGAGGAACATTTATGTCAACTCCCCACAACTCAAAATCTGTTAGCGAAAAAACATTGGTTGCATTCCCAAACAAAACATGTGTGGATTCACAGGAAAGATTGCAAACGGAGTTCCAATTTACATTTTAGGAGCATCTCCATGAACAGAACATGAAACTTTTCCGTAAAGCATTTTCTATTGACATTGAAAATGTGGATACAATTTACCGAACGGAACTGGTTGAAATGCAGAATTGTGACTCTGTGAGAGATGTATGCAAGACCAGCAGCCTTCATGATTTCTATGCATATCTCCTCTCTGAGACATATTCTCGTCTCAGGAACCATTCACTCAAAATGGCTACCATCTTTGGGAGCCCTTATGTCTGGTACCGGACTTTTTCTAGAATGAAAAATTTGAATCCTCTAACTAGATCAAGACTAACGGATGCGCATTTACATCGCTTGTTAGGATTAGCAGTGACAAACATGGAACCGGATATTGACCATCTAATTAACCAAATGCAGGCCAATAGTTCCCATTGAAATACTGGTAAGTTTGATGATTTAACTTTACTTCATTTTAAATATTGAATTTGTTCCCGTTTAGATACTTCTCTTCAAAGTAAGATATACGTAGCGTGCATTTGAAATAGTTCATAGTTTTTGTTTTTACTATAATCTGGCCCTCACAAGGCCTGAGGGGCAGTGAACTGGCCCCCCTGTTGAAAAAAGTTTGATGAGCCCTGCTCTAGGGCATTAAGCACTAAAAGTTTGAGGCTAAAGGCCTCAAAGAACCCTTTCTCACACCGTATTCTACAAGATAAGATCATTTTGAACATTCTATTGCATTTTTTGCTGAGGGGGAGGGGGAGATAAAGAGAGAGAAAGGGAGATGAAGGGCAGAACAATGTCTGCCGGGTTCCGCTGGTATTAAAATATAATTGTTTTAGGATGACAGAAGAGTAATTTTTGGGATTCTAAAAACTCAGTTATAACTTGAAAAGGCAAATTCAACCAATTCAAACGAAGCACCTGTGTGCATATCTGAGTTTATTTCGAAAGCTAGAATCAATAGTAATTTTTAATTTTTATTAGTGAATAATAGTAATAAATTTAACTATTACGTTATTTATAGCACATTGTATAGAAAAAAATATTCACACAGATTTGCTTTCATTACATCGAAGTAAAATAATTTCTGAATAGCATAAGCAGCAATCAATTTCTTAAAGTAAAAGAAATTCATTTGTTGCGGTAAATATATAACCTTCACACACACACACGTCCTTTCGTAAGATTTTCTCTGTATCATAAAATCACGACCGGCAACAATAAAAAGCATTCTAATATAATTGGAAACCGCCGTGATGCCATTTTACTGACAACGCGTCAAACGAAGAGTGGGAAATGCGAATTGAATATTTCGACTATACCTTTTTTCAATTTTCGAAAATACACACTGTGCGGCCAAAATAGAACCCGAACCACTTTCTTTACCTTCTTTGCTACATACGTACATAAATAGAAAAAAATTAGTGCAGTTTCTGAGAAATACATTTTTTAAAATTTAAAAATTGCCTATTTTACAACAAAACAAAAAGTATTTTCGAAAAATTGAACTCAACCTAATTTAAAGATATGTTTCTGAGAAACACATTTTATTAAGAAAAAATCTTCGTAGTAGTTGTAGAAAGACGCGGAAAAAATTTTGAAACTTTCAAATTTTCGAAATAAATAAAAAAAATTAGGCCTGCGCCACTCCTTTAAGCTATCCAAAATAAAACTTTAATCAAAAATTTGGTGACATGTCCCAAGTGCTTCATCTAGAATACCATCAAAATTAAAATAACTGTTTCAAATTCATGGGACCCCGACATCAGCCATATTGAATGGGGAACAGTGGCGGCTCGGGCACATAATTGAAAAAGATCTTATAATATCTTAGGAATAAACATTTTCCTTTTAATGACTTGTAGCAATATCGATGTGTACAAAATAATTTTGAAACCAACGAGCGTGCAACTGGCGCTCTCTCCGTTAGGTAACTCACACGTACGCCACGCTCTTGGTCTTATTACTGGTTTTACTGCACGGCCCGTCGCCTTAACACGGGAGAACATACCGCCTTTGGTGACGAACAAACTGGGACGAGGCGGGCGCAGTGGAGCGCTGCATGGCGACCAATGCAGTTCGAAAGGTATTAACAACATTGTCTCCGTCTGACAAGTTGCAACTTCATTTTAAGAATTTCGCATGTCATTGAAAGTAAACAAGTTCAGTCTATTGACGGCATTCAATGCATTATTTATTGCATTTGGATAATTTGTTTTCATTTGACATTAGGTTTATTGATTCAAAACCTACATTGGATAAGTTTCTTTGTGTAAAGTTGGCTGTTCTTGATGAAAGACCCTTGGGAGTCTCGCGAAAGCCAGTTTGCCAGCAGCAGGACAGCGGTTTGCAAGAGTTCTTATGAGTATGAATGTGTGTAATATTTCATTATTCCAATATATACCAGGGTAGTGAATAAAATAATTTTATTTGTATAAAGCGTGTCCAAACTATAGTAGTTTTGCAACACTGGGAATCAAAGCAAGAACTACGTGCGCGGGAGGTGAATACAGGTCTCTACACACATGCTAATTTGTCCAACCAACCGTAGGGACAACGAAATTTGACTCTCGGCTACACGCTGTCCGACCAACATCCCGATTTTTCAGTAGTGCTCGAAATTTCTTGGAGGAAACATCTATGTGATTGTGACGGAAATCTGAGGAAACTGAAGTGCTATTGTCAGGCTGTTGCACAATGATTCCCGACCTCGAAAATATGGCTAAAATGAAAAGAAGAAAAAATCGTATTTCGAGATTTTTATGTTCACAATAATTTACCCTTATAGTTAGAGAGTTAATATGTAAATGGGCAACATATCTTTTGTATTCATCTGCAGATCTCAGGTCGAAAGCTAACCGCGTGCAATCGTGTTCTAATACGGCAGCGAGAATATTATCAGGTTATTTAACTTTTTTGACAAAGTTTTTGTACAAATATTACACGAGTTAATATAAAATATTTAGTCCTAGTGAATACTGAATATTTGTTAATTACTCAAGTTAACTAGTGGCGCTAAAATAAAACGAATACTCTCTCACAATTAGTAATGGTTATGCAATACTATTTTCACAATTTCTCTCCGAATTATTTTTTATAAAAGTCATTTGAAATCTTAAAACAATTCATGCGAAAGATAATAATAAGAATTTGCGGAACTAAAATAATTAAAAGTTAATCAATAATACAATACGATAGCGTTGGCAAACAACTTGATCGAAAAATATTTAATAGTAATTATTAAACACTATGGTATTGTAATATTCTACTATATATATATATATATATATATATATATATATATATATATAGATGTTTGAGGCAAGTTGGATGCTATG